ATTGGTCCTTGACAGTTGGCTCAATTACCATTGGCTCAGTGACAATTGCTTCTTTGACATTTTCCTCCTTGATAGTTGCTTCTTTGACTTTTTCCTCCTTGACAGTTGCTTCTTCGACATTTGCCTCCTTGATTGTTGCTTCTTTAGCTTTTACCTCCTTGACAGTTGCTTCAGTGACTTTTGTCTTCTTTGGTTCCTTGGCTTTTGTCTTCTTTATTCCACTCTTAGTTGTACTATTGTTGGTAAATCCCTCAGGCCTCCTCTGCATGAAACATTAACAGCATTAACATTGTTACAGAGCCTTATATTTTATTACACACAAGCACAATATTAAAGTAGAACATTACACTTTTTTTATGCCAAATAGACTTGGCTAGTTTGGCTTGCTTGTGTAGGAATCTCCTGAGTCACTTGTGTAGGAAAGTCCTGAGTCACCGGTGTAAACATCTCTTGATTGGCCTGTGTGGTATTTCCAAATAGAACATGTAACTCCCGTTTCATTTCGATTAAATTTAATTGTGATTTTTGCTGTATCTCGTTGTGTCGTAGTCGTACGAGGATGTCGGGAAAATTCTGATTTTTTCGGAAAACTTCGAAAAATCATATCTCTTGATCCGTAAGTCGGATTTGACCCCCGTTCGAAGCGTTGGAAAGATAAAGAGATGTTATATCTAGAAAAAAATTGAAAAAAATTGAATTCTTCTGATATGACGATCGTCATGGACTTGCCACAACCGTCACGACTGTGACGCTCGTCATGGACTTGCCACGACCGTCATAGTAACGAAATTCAGTTAAATGCAGAATTTGGATGTGGCTGAGAGTGGGTAGCAAAAATATATTCCCATAGACTCTTTTACCCTCAATTACACCATTTGGGGAAAGAAAAGACTGGAAAGAGAAGTTACGCACTGAGGAAAGTTGAGAGCAAAGAATCAACCACCGGCGAATTTGGAGGATTTCTGCAGAAAAGTCACCGTAGAGCGGAAGCGGAACCGGAGAGCGTGGAATTGACCTCAATTCTAAGGTAAGGGTGGGGTTCAATTTTATAACCGGGAGTATGATCGAATTCATGTGGGGATCGAGTCATAGGTATAGTTTTCGTTAATCGATAAATGTTAAGGAAAAGGTTTCCCTAATGGGACCAGATTTCTATGTAGGAATGAATGTGTTATGTAGTTATTAGTGCGATGCTCTAAGGTTTTCCTTATGGGCAAATACGTAGAACGAATATGCTATACGGTTATTCGTACAACGCTCTAATGGTTTTCCCTAATTGGCCAAAAAGGACAGTTACCTGGTTGTGATTGATTTGTAATTAATTATGTGAGAAGATGTCGTAATGTTGTTATTACGATAAGATGTTAAAGATTAATTGTTGAACTGATGTTGATGTTATACCTGTATAGGAATAGCCGTTTTGGATGAACACTTTGAGTTCCTATTTGTTGGTACGATGTTGTAATGTTCCTTTACATGAACAGTCGTAAATGTCAAAATTATGTTGCCATTGTCCTGTATGTGAACGGGTAGAAAGTGATGGTTGTATGAGTGGTATGATGTTATGATGCTCTGTTATGGACATTCTGGTTGTAGGCGTAATGCCCTGTTATATGGTTGTTATAGTTGTGTTGTAGTCCATAATAGATGGATTTCATGGCATAGCATTTGGCCTGGATTGGCGACGGTTGTGCCTGTATTGGCGTTATTCGGAGTGTTGGCTCCTAGATGGGTTCGGGGTGTTGGCCCTGTCCCGAGTTTTGGAGTGTTGGCTCCTAAATGATACCACATGCATGTGCACAGTTGAGTCGCATTGTTGAGTCACATGAAGTCGCATAATTACGTCAGTTGTATGTTAATGTTGTTTATGTGAGATATGGATTACTCGCAGTTGTTGTCGATGATGTTTATGATTTCGAAACCTATAATGTTGTGATGAGTTTCCGGCATGTTTTCTATCATGCTTTATGTTATATTATTGATATCTCACCCTTTTCCGTTGTATGTTACCTCCTCTGGTGGTAATTTGCAGGTAGTCAGGAATAGAGCGTAGTTCGGAATGAAGTTCCGCTTTGTCGATTAAGTTGTCGTTGGTCGCTCTGATACGTAGTACTCTTGGGGGGATGAACGATTGTAGTCATTGTTTTATTTATCTTCTTGTTGCTGCATTTTACGAAATGTTTTCATTGCATTGGGTTCCTTTGTTAATGCGCCGAATGTTGGTTGTACGCACTAAGCCGGAGAATCGGTAGTGCTGAATTTTGATGGAAAACTAGTTGTTTTAATGAATATATGCAAGCTGAAGTACTTGCTGAATTTTAATGGAGTTCTGTTTGTAATTTATGGTATTACGTTGATTATCATAAATGTTGAAAGTGCATGATGTTCCGCTGCAAAATGAATATGTTGCTATGTGATTAAGATGTTATATGAGTTGTTATTAGATGTTCATCTAAGATTATGTGTTATGTATCATCACTAAATGCATGTTGTCCAATTAAATGGTAAAATGCATGTTTTATAAGTTGAATATGTGACACCTCTGTTGCGTCTCAGTTCTTGTGCGTGTGACGGTCGTCACGACTCCATGACGGTCGTCATGCTTGCAAAATTCGTGCACTCTGATTTTGATTTATTTTAAATATCCGCCGGGTTAGATTGGGGTGTTACAGAACAAGCACAATTTGTTTGTTCTTCTTGCAGGTCCTTTTGTTGTGGCCTAGTTCGAAACAAGCTTTGCACCTATGGCTTATATTTTTTCTATGTCATTTTGTTTGGTTCACTTCATCATACTCTCTTCTTCTAAGTTTCTTGGGCCACGTCTGAACAAAGAGGGCAACATAGTATCATTAGATGTTCTAGGTCATTTGTTCTGGTCATTTAATGGGGTGATCACCACACTTAACATTTCTCATATGTGCATTTGTGATAACACTTACGCATATATTTGACCGAGTCATCCACTTTCCTATGTATGACAGCCACACCATGTCTACATGGAATCTAAAGTTTCCAATAGTTGTAGGAGCATGTTTGTTTTTCCAAATCCACTACAAAACTATCAGTAAACAATACATGTGCGACTTGAAAGGTTAATATACCAATTCATTAGTCATGTATGAATCTTCAATGACATGTTCCTTTTCCATCTCTTCTGTGATAAAAAAATTCTTGTCTAGTTGAGTATTGCCCTCATCATTAGCAACATTTTCATTTTTTGTTTCTCCATCAACCCTTTCATCAATCACTTCTTCAAACTGTTTCATTCTCTCTTCCTCACTATCATCAAATTGGACACCTCTCGCAGACTCATCACTAACTTCACTCAGTATGTCACCATCTTCATCACATTTGATCCCTTTTCCTTTCTCCCTAAACCTTTCCATAAAGGTTTCCTCTCCTACAACTTTAGGCTCACAAAATATCTCAACTTCACACTTATTTTCTATCGCATACATGGCTAACTCAGAAGCATCTTCATCATCCCTAAATGATTGTAAGTCTTGTTCAAAGGATCATTCATCATGTTTGCACCACATCTTAACACAACTTAGATCAAACTCATGTTCAATCACCTTAACTAAGTCACATGCTTCAAAGAAAGACCAGTAATCTGAAACTTGACCACTAAAAGCATATACTTCATCTCCCTCATATCTTATGTTAGGGTCTTTTACAAAACATCCCTTCGAGTAAAATACAACCTTTAATTTATCCATTTTCATGTACACAAAATTTAACCTAGGTTTAAAATTTACCATAACTAGGTCAAACTGATTTACCCTAAATTTTTCTAACATTGATACCAAAGTTAGGTCAAACATATTTACCAAAAAATAAACTTTTACATGAATGGTAATAAGATGCAACATAGTAAATAAACTGGGACTACTGAAAAGCAACAAAGATGACATAGAATAAGAAACGAGGGAGCACGGAAGAGACAAAGTACATTAATTTGGACTATTCCAGTGGATTACGAAGTTGTTTTTTGGACAAAGTATATTACCCGTGACCACTTCAGCGGATTACGAAGTTGTTTTTTGGGACCACTGCATCGAGGATGCTAAACTTGTTTTGGGACCACTGAAACGAAGATTTCTTCTCTAAACACAGCAAAGACTTGTTCCTTGACCACAACGAACCTCCTTGACAACAACGATAACTTCTGTTAGGACACACTCATGTGAAATGTTTGTTTGGTATTCCATTATCTCAATTATAAACATAATATTATCATCTATTTCACCGTGGCGAATTGGCATGTTACAAATGACACTTAAGCAAAAGAAATTTTACACTTGACATGACACGTTGTCCTTCGTTAGTGGAAACTAACGGCAAGAACCACATTTAGGGACGAAAATTTTTGTGAAAACCATTGTTTAAAAAAAAAATTAGAGAGACTAAACTTAAATGTTGACATACTTATAGAGACTAAAAACATATTTAACCCTAAATAATATTGTGATTATCAATGTAATGTTATGTCACATTTTTTTGTTGGTGCACCAATGTAATATCACATTTTTATCATATTACAAGGTGCGCACATCTTGAAAATTACGAGACTATTCAAACAAGATGTCAATAGATTTAATGATATAATACATACATGCATATCTTATTTACTTTACTATAGACCTCTCAAATTGTTGCTTAAGTTTTTCAATGAAAATGGTACAAGTATTTTCTTAGATATTGCAAACTGCGACTGAGTATAGCTTTTCTCCTTTGGCGTTCTTAGTTCAAAATATTAAGAAAATGAAAAAATCATCTTTGTTAAAGCCACCACACGACTCAAATTTCTTTGGATAGCAGATCTTTATCAACCGAATAAAACATATATGAAACTACCAAGCGGCTTAAGATTGTTAGCACAATTTACATTTACTGATTTACACGAAGCCAACTATTTATCATCACGATAAATAAAGAAAATGGTACATGGTACATGGGCAGCATAACATGGTAATTTAAATCTCCGAGTCATATTCTTCTTATTCTGGATGAGCAGTCCAATAAATCAGTCCACTGCATGCAATAAAATTTGATTTAGCAGTAATCAACAAGCCACCATCAAGATTGACATGAGAGAGAAGTGTCAATGTTTCTCAAGCTTTTGACTTATGAGATGCAATTGGAAGAAAGTCATATGAGTATGCTTTTAAATTTCAATCTGACAGAAGAACTTCAGCAGAAGATATATTTGGTCGCATTTCAAAACTGTGCGGAAAATGATTACTGAAGTAAGGACTGACTTTTTTCAATATTTACTAACATGTATGGTTATTCAAAATTTTCTATTTTTAATGGTTTTCAACACAGTTCCTTCAACTGTAAGTTCAACCCACGTCTGCATAACATAAGGGAAAAATAAGTTATCATTAGATAATAACGTTGTCATTCTTACCTGATCAAGACAAAAACACACTGCAAAACGCCTGCAACTCCAGCCCACACTGATGGAGCAGATTTGTCGAGTGAATCTTGGATCAGTAAACCCGCTGATCCAGCTAAAGAAACAAAGGACACAACATATGCGATGAAGAGCCACAGCTTCAGTCTGTTAACAAGGGTAAAAAAGGTTAAAATATATTTTCAAACAACACAGAATATTGAGCCATATGATTCTTAATGCTTAAGGCCTTGAGCTCGGAGGAATAAAATCCTGGGATTATTTTCTTTAGCTGAGTTGAAGCTGTGTGCAACATTGAAGTAACGAACATAGAAAGTAAAGATATAAAGGGCCGATCAATAACTCAGTAAATAAATTAGATTGGAAAAAGCAGACTCAAAACAAAAAATAGATTGGAAATATTGCTTTGAGTGTGATTGGATTCAAAAATCACGACCTAGTTTTTTGGGTCATGAATTGAATAAACAAATTAATGGGTTTGCATGAAATTTAGTTGGTCGGTAAATTTACACCTTCAATGTGTAACCAACTAACCATCTTACCAGGTATTAGTAAAGAGAAGAAATAAATGGTGAGGGTGAGGATCACAAGTTTCTTCAATTTATGCAGAACTTTGTCTGGTAGACACCATTCATTTTAGGCAATTTGAGGGAAGACGCCTCAACTCCACAAATAAGACTTCCTTTGTCTGACAGCAACCCAATGACTAACCTCTTCTCTCACCACCACACCCTCCCTGTAACCATCTTGCTTGGCCTAACTAACTTCCCAACTCAGCAACGTAACTAATTCCCCCAACCCAATGTTGTTTTTTTGTTTGAGTATAAATCATCCACTCATAAAATTGTAAGAGTTTACTTGATTCAAAAATGATGTTTGTAAAATAAATCAAAGTATCAAAACAAGACTCAATACTATGTGCTTAGTAAAAATTCAATTTACTAACTGAGTAATAAAGCAAATGACAGTAACAATTTAAGACCCAAGACTGCAAGACAAGACCAGACAGCTCCTCAAAGAAAATTTTCATTTATCTAAAACCAACCAAATGACTAACCTCCCCTCAATAAATGTCAACCTTTTGTAATCCAACCAAATGGATCAACACCATCAAGCAAGAGCAATCCAACTATCCTTACCGCCATCTAAAACGCAACCAAGTTATCTCCTAGGGAGGACAAAAGGCCAACACCTCTAAGGGTGCCACCTCTACGCCCACTGCATCCCACTGTTATGGGCCTTAATAGTTTGTTTCTCCCAAATTTGATTCATCTCTTATGGCAGAGATGATTTTCTAACAAAGCAAATTTAGCTTCCAATTATTCAACTCTATCCACCATCTTCGCTTTGATGTACATGAAGTTTTTTAATAAAGTGCAAACTTAAGACTTATAATCAATAGTAGCATTAAAAGACCCTTTCAAATCTTCAGATTGTGGCCCATATTTCGAAGGCCCGACCAATTGATGGAGCACAAGAATTAAGAAGTGGTGTAAGACTGTTACTTAAACAGAAAGGAGAACCTAAGCTCTTGCAAGAGAAAACTAAAGCCTCCATTTCTTTGAGAGAGACTCTATGACTAACCTCCTCTCCCACCACTCATCTCCTTATAATCACATTGCCTGGCCTAACTAAATTGCCAACTCCGAAGCATAATTCACTACCCCTGCATATTTTTGCAAGCGAGTATAGACCTTCTAAATCATTTTTTTCCAGGGCTCAGATCCAATAAGTAGTCCACGGTTAGTCCACAACCCCACTGCTTAAATCACGTCCACAACCAGTGCTCTATCAACAAGTGTAGACTTTGTTACGGATGAAACTTTGTACATGTTTCCAAGATGTCTATTGTGTGCATGATTCTCTCCCTCCAAGATTTCAATCCTAGTCATTTCATCATATAGATGTCAAAAACATTTTTCTTTGGTGTGACCTCAAGGAAGATTATGGAAGCTTATATCAAATTTCCGATTGGAATGTCAATCCGTCACCTATGCATTCCACAAACTAAACACTTTTATACAGCTAAATCAAGGCACCAAACATATGGTTTTGATCCATACTATTTAGCTTGTCATTCATTCAAAACTAGTTTGATATATTTTTCTTAAAGAACTTCTAAGGCATTGTGTGTCGGTGACCTGGAATTATCACATGCTTATGTGGATGATATTGTGGTTAAGGTCTGAACATTTTGTCATATGCCTCTTTGCAATTAAACAACTGCTGTTTTCAACTTTTCACATGAAAGAACTTGGTTAATTCACTGGTTATTGGGGCTTAGACGTGCATTACCCACCTAAATACATTTATAATACAACAGAAGTATATTCCTTTGTTAACACCCCAAAAGATAATATTGATAAAATGAAGGTGGTCTTCTTGCCATCCTCACTTTATATTCTAGGTGGTAATCTAATCTGCCTACACATCAGAGTCAATAGTGGCGCTATCCCACTATAGCGGAGCGGAGGCCGACCGTTATGGGAAGAGCCTTAGCGGTGCAGAACACTATAGTGGCCGCTATAGGGTAATAGCTGGATAGCATAGCAGAGTGGTTCCCAGCCCAGAGTGGTTTCTGGTCCGTTATCCTCTCCTCCTCAAAAAAACCGAAATTACTCCTTAAATTTACAACGTTTTAAGGGTAATTTTAAGTTTTTCAATCAAATTTTTAGTTGAGACTCAACCTTGTCCGCGCCGCTATCCGTGATTGACTACTCTGCTACACATTGCTTGACTAGACATTCTTTTTGCTGTCCACGTAGTTAGCTTGCAATTTCGTGCAACCCTTCAGCATTTCCCCCTCTTAGAAATGCACCAGACCAACCATTACCTCCTTGGCACCTACAACTGTGGCATACACTTACTCTTATGCTGATTCATCTGTTCAGCTCCAAATATCAAATGATGTTGATTGGGCTGAATATCTAGGCACAATTAAATCTACTAGTGGCGGGAATATGTTTTATTGTGATGCTCCAAAATCATGGAATCACGGAGAAAAAATGTGTTCCCTAAGGCTCTGTTTGCGAGTTTAGAGGGGATGGGAAGGGAATTAGAGGGGAAAATAGAGAACTTTTTCACAAATTTTGAGATGGTGTTTTTGTAGAGAATGATAATTTAATGTTTATCATTAATATATTTTTAATTTTTTGAGTATGAACAACATAGATTAGAATAACTTATCTACACCCCCCAAAGTCCTCCAAAACCCTCTTCCAATACAGTTTTTGAGTTCCCCCAAACTAGGGGCATTTTGTATTATGAAGAAACATAAACCCTCCAAAGCCCTCCCCCCTCCCCCCTCCCCCAAATCTCTCAATTCTTTCTACTTCATTCTTCCTTGTTTTCAAAGTCCTTTCCTTCCCCCTTCCCTTCCCTCCAAAGTCCCAAACAAAGTCTAAATCTTTCGCTGAAGTGGCAGAGCATTGAGCAATGCCTACCATATGCTATCTGATAATTTGGTTGTGTGGTCTTCTCACTGTTTCTCAAGCACGGACAGCTTCACTAGTGCTGACAACAGAACTATCATAGAAATTGCAACTTTCCAACAAAGTTTACTATAAACAATGCAGGACAATTGTCACTATCAAAGAATCATGTAACCACAAAGTTATCACTATATCTTGTGTTTTGACATCTGTTCAGCATACAATTTCCTAGTTAGAAAGATGATGCTCGTAGACTTACTAGCATCAATTTGAGGAGAGATGTCAGAAAGATGATGCTCGTAGACTTACTAGCATCAATTTGAGGAGAGATGTCAGTGGAATTTATTGGAAAAATTCTCTAGTCATTTTAAACCAGAAAACTCGTAAACATCGATCAGCTAGCCATTTAAACCCAGCAAAGATTTGTGTGTCTTGTGAAACATAGACATGTGATGAATCGTGAATATAGAAATTCTTTACCAATTTCGAAGTTAAACGATATCATCATAATCAACAAAGAAGAAAACAAGCAAACAATAAGCAATCAAGTACCTCCACTCTCCTTCGTCATAAGGAGAGTAATCAATGTCTTCTTTTCTAACGCAATTGAACATCAAACCCGCTAGAGATGCAAAAATTCCTTCGAAAACAAAAATCAAAAGCACAATCAATTAAATGAAACCCTAAAACTAAAAGATAAAGAGAGATGTGAAACTCACCAGGAAGATAGTGAAGAAAGGGAACGGTTGTGGAGCTGCATACGACGGCGTCGAGCCAGATCCACCAGCCGGCACCGAAAACAGCGCCGGCGACGCCAGGGCCGAAAATTGCCCATAATTCAATCAAGTCCATTTTATCTTCACCGTCACACCTAAACCCAAGCAACACAGACGCGACTATGAGTAATTCAACTCTCTACTTTTTATTAATTTGTTTGCGAGTTCCATCAACAACCAACGTATAAATAAAAATTAATAAAAACATTAGTATTAATTTTAGGGTAAATAAATTTTTTGAGTTTAAATCAATACTTACGCACGTACGGACAAATATTAAGTAATATTTATATTCATAATATTGTTAATGTTTAACGGTTTTTTAATTTAATTTAATATTTCGTTCTTTATTTAATAAAGTTTTTTTAAAATTT